GAGACATTCCCCTGGATTGTATCTAAGGGTCCCCCAGCTAGGTGCCCTTTCTCGCCCCTTTTTTGGTTGGGAGGGTTCGGGACCCTACTCAAATAGACTACGGAAAAAGTTGGTTCCAGCTTATTCTAACCTCTCTACGGGAGGACCTAGATCTGGTTTGGGACTTAATTGTAATTTGCCTGGACCTCTATGAGAGTGTTTCATTTATCACCCAGACTCGCTGTTGTGTAGCCTTTGGATGCCTGCTGGGACGTCCAGAAGGGCGTCGCATGTTTCAAGCGCCAGGATGAACACAGTCCTTCTATTCCACTTGGGCTGGCTCACACACCACCCTTTATGCCAATGTCAACTCTGTCGAAGCGAGGGCAAGTATCCAAGGAGCTTTGCTCATTTTCTTGTTTGGAGTTTTGATTCAACCAAACAAGGCACTTGCAACTCCCAAGAAAGCCAAAGGTACGTGTCAGTTCGCGAAGGACAGATTTGCACTGTGTCCCCCGAAATCGGCGGTAAATACATTGCCAGCGAGCCAAAGGGCACAACTGTACAGGCTCCGCTTAGGCATGGTGCGAAAGGGATGGTTACAAGCTTTTCGGGCGCCTCGTTTCCCGGCACCCAAGATCCCAAGTCGTTTCGAGCCTTCGGCTATGCGGGTTCTTCAAAATCAATCCCCAATCCTTATGGGCTTGTCTTGAAAACTTCTTTTGGTTTCCCTTTAAACCCCCAAAAGATTCTCAACGCAAAGATAGCCCTGCTAAACGGGTGTGTCTTTTTTAGGGAACCCCCTTTTGGTTGATTTTCAAGGGAAGCCAACGGGAACGCCACAATTTGTTGGGGTCCCGTAAAAGTTTGACACCCAAAATCAAGCCCCAGTGGCGTCCCTCCGCGGGATGAAACCTCAGCTTACCGCAACACGAAGATGCGCACATTCATTGGGGTCAGCAACTTGTCCCTCGCATAGAAATTGGATAGCCATCTTTGGAGGTCCGCTTGCCATCTTGATTTATACCTGTTTGGACGTGACACATAGGTTTTATCATCATATATGTGTATACACATTTGAATGAGGAACACCCTGTCAATTGGTTAGTGGACAGAAGTCCCCGGCACAATGATATCCACTAACACCCTTTCCATGCGAGCATTTGCTGTCCCTTTGGCAGCCGCAAGATGGAGACAACGCACCATGCTGCCCAAAGTGGCTGGCATGTCACCTGTCTGCTTCGGATTTCAGCGGAGCCCCTACACACACAAACCACATCGGGTAGATGAAGCGTCATGAAGGCACAGTCCCTTAGTCCCTTTGCCAAAATTGGTGCGCCCTTTTCGAATAGGTTAATTGAATTGTTTTATTATGACTCTCCAGATCACTCAGTTTAAAGCGGGGCTGAGCCTCCATTTTTAAACTGCCCTTCTTTGTGCAAATGGGCGGTGTCTTTCATTTGCCGAAACAATTATATGTTTTATTTTCACTTTTTGGTGTTAAAGGGGAATCTATCACTACTGGAAATTATGCTTTCCAGGGAGCTTAAGCAAATGGAAGGTGTGTAGCAAACGATGATGCAATCATAGCTAGAATCAGGGATGGTCCCTTTCTTATTGGTTGAGTTTCATCAACTTCAAGGCAATGTTGCTGTTCTTTGTTTGCAACAAACAAAGGCTTTGACCTCCAACAACTCACGGATGAATCCGAAGCTGACAGGAAGCAGCATTAAGGAGCGATGGAGTTCCAATTTTCAAGCCGTTCCAGCTGTCGGTTAACTGATGTAGATGGATACAGGCGAAATGGTGAAAAGCTCACCCTGCACTCTAGAGATATGCTCTCCCGCCGAGAGACGTGTAAATTTTACCCCCATACCCCAGCTTATGTATAGGGGGTGTTTCCCTCCAAAAGTGACGATTTCCCACTAAACGCAGGGACACCCCTATATGGGTCAACTTTATGTATTAAAATTGATGGCGAGGTGTCTTGCCTCAAATAGCAATTTTAGCCACGCCTCGTGAGGACAAGCTGTACCGGATGTGTTTGGGACAGCTGTACAATCTGGAAATCCTGCTACACGCCACGAATATGATCCCCAACATTTACCCTTTCCCATGTGTACCTCCGTTTGCTTAAGAATATTTTTCCCTTGTTGGGTTTAAAAGGAATTCATTACTACTGGATGTATTTTTTTCCTGGGGCCTTAACCAAATACACCAGCATAGACCCCAGATAGCGCACCACGGCTACGAACCATGACGCAGCATCATAATAATTCCCGCGGCATGATGATGATGTTGACAGCATCTTGGTGATGTTGACAGCATCATGAAAATACCACTGCTACTCAGCCGCTACATAGAAGCTCATCAGCAAAACGATGATGTTGACAGGATGATGCTGAGACACCAGCCACGTACGATTCCGCGCTACATATCTAGCAGAAAAAGGCAGAGACGACGTCCTGATGAGTTCGACAGCATCGTGATGATGCGGACAGCATCATGACGATGCTCACAGCATCATGGTGGTGGCAAAGGCAGCATCCTGATGATACCACAGCCACAAATCATCGTGTAATGAAAGTCAGCATCATCCCGATGCTGACAGCATTATGCCACGAACCATAACGCGGCATTGCAGCGATTGCAGCAGCATCATGATGTGGTTGACAACATGTGGTGGACAACATCATGATGATACACCAGCCACGAACCATTACGCGCGACAGTTAAAGCAGCAACAACGTCCGAATCGGTTCAACACCATCATGATGCTGCGGACAGCATCATGATGCTGCGGCCGGCATCATGATGATGCTGCGACAACCAAACAGCACCCGCCCTAGCACCCTGCCACCAGCCCGCCGGCAATCTCCGACGCACAGCACCCCAAACAGTACCCCAAAACAGCTGCATCAGCTCCCCAAACTGCATGTGGCCATCAATCTTGCAAGAATGCGCCTGCACCATCACCAGCACCTCAAACAGCACCCCAAACTGAGTGCCCCCCCGGTGTCCATCAGCGCCTTCAACAGCACAGGCACCAGCCTGCATGCCCCCTAGCGCCCGGCCGTCAATCTCGCAAAACAGCACCTCCACCAATACTCCAAACTACATGCCCCCTATCTCAAAGCGGCGCCTCCACCAGCACCCGAAACTGCATGCCCCCTAGCACCCCGCCGTCAACCTCGCAAAACAGCACCTCCACTAGCGCCCGAAACTGCATGCCCCCTAGCACCAACCTCGCAAAACAGCACCTCCACCAGCACTCCAAACTACATGCCCCCTAGCACCCGGCCGTCAATCTCGCAAAACAGCACCTCCACCAGCACCCCAAACCACATGACTTCTAGCACTTGGCCGTCAACCTTGCAAAACAGCACCTCCACCAGCACCCCAAACCGCATGCCCCCTAGCACCCATCCGTCAATCTCGCAAAACAGCAGCTCCACCAGCACCCCAAACTACATGACCCCTCGCACTTGGCCGTCAATCTCGCAACACAACACCCCAAACTGCATGCCCCCTAGCACCCGGCCGTCAATCTCGCAAAGCGGCACCTCCACCAGCACCCCAAACTGCATGCCCCCCAGCACCCGGCCCTCAATCTCGCAAATCACTTTCCCTTCTTTAATAGAAGTTAGAACCCCTATAGCTTTCAGCTATCTGGGGAAATAGAAGTGTATATACTTACATATTATATATATATATATTGTGAGCTCGCATGGCTTCCCTTCCGACACCTGTCCACAAGCAGCCCAAACAATGTCTTCGCCGACGAAAGCGGGGAAGCCCTGTCCGCTTGGGAGCTTCCGGAAGATAGGATTCAGAGCAAGGGGAGCCATTGAAGGTTGGCAGCGTTGCGGGATCACTCGGGGTTTATCCAACCACTTCTGTGATACAAGGGAATCCCCTCTTTACATGGGGGGTTAGTCTTTGGGAGGCCCTTTTTTGCTATATCACAGAAGTGGTCATTTCCCACAGCCCTGCAGCTTGGTGACTAGTGACTTTAACGGGCTCAAGGGCCGCCACAATATGCCCATGGCGTCCCCTGCTGCTCCAAATCAGTGTTGGAGATGTACCTCTTCCGAAAGTGATGTTGGACCCGCAGGCTACATGTTAGAGTTTTTGAGGGTTCGAACTCACCCATTGGGCACCATTCGACTGCAGGCTGCATTTAGAACTTGCGTACGGCTCATGCTTCCCTTTTAGCGTGTGTCGAACATCATGCAACCACTCCTGCACGATACACTCTCCTGCAGATCAACATGGACCGACAAACCAGAATGTTTGGAACAATGTCCTTTTGCAAAAGCCCTTCATGTTCATGTCAATTTGTAGGGGAGTATATGGTCCCAAGTGAAGGTTGGTCGCTTGCCGCTTGCGCGCTGACATCCCCAGCCCCTATGGAAGAGGGTGGGTATCGGACCCCCTCCCAAACGCTGTCCCTTGCACAGACGTTGTAAGGAGAGCTTATGGAGGAGCTTTACCCAACTCAGCTCAATGAGTTTGGGTGGACAATCCTCTTTTGTGGATGGTCAGTTGGTCGTTGATAGTTCACATGCGTCGCGGCTCTGAACCGAGGGCTCTTCAGCCCAAAGCTGCGGGTCCTGAAGCAACCCGGGCGAAGGTGTTCTTTGGGTTTTTGGGGGCTACATGGTACATAGGGGGTTGCCCGATTCCACAATCCCCGAGAACCTTTTCGTGAAGGGTTTAAGTTTGTAGTATATATTCAGGTCATTCCCAAAACGACCAACTGGCAATGTGACTCATGCGCACAGCAACAGTGTGAAGATGCGTTGGCCAAAGGGCATGCCCCGACTTCTGGCGAGCAACAACCGTGTTTTTGTTTTTGAGACATTTATGGCATTGTGTGCGACCCATAAAATATAAATATGTCTACATGCACATACAAACGATGCTTGACGACAAAACATGTGGCCATGGGTCAGAACCTATGCCTCCATTTTGGGGCGGATGAACACCAATATACCACCTATTTTGTTCACCAGGGGTACAGGGTTTTGACCCACAGCCATGTCACACGCGTGAAATCGCGCAGAACCAAATTTTAGAACTGCCGCTGATGTGGCCATTGCTTGTTGCCCGTGCAGCTGATGGTCTTTGGCATCAGGCGACGGGGGCGCGGGGGTGGGGGGGGGATACCTGCTATGCCACCCGCCAATCTGTTGGGCTTATATTAGCGCCAACTAAGTTGACTGTCTTGGGCTGTCTGCTCCATGCGTGCTTCCAACTAGGTTCGGGACCCCCACTTCGCAGGTGTCCGTATGGTTTCTATTCGTGGCAGCTGGACGTGGAACGTTAGGTTTTTGAATGTACTGATATCTAGTGATCCGTTGACAGATCCACTCAACAAGTACGTGTGTCTAACATCTAGGTGTTATTTGATTTTGCGTTGAGACATATCGTCATAACGCCAGTTCTCGAAAGGACCTTGGGGAAGCTGCTTCATATGTCTCACATGGTCGCTTGGCTTCTGTTGGTCATGCTCTTAGCCCACGTGTCGCAGGCTTGCCGCCAGAAACGCTCGCAGGAAACGCCTCCGCATTCGATGGGTAGGGCCTCTTCTTGGTTGCTTCCGTCGGAAAATTGCTCGCACGCGTAAGGTCCACTTGGGATGATCAACCTCCATCTTGGGCGCTTCGGTTCTCTGCAGTTGGCATCACCTGGGCTTCAAAACCCTCTGGCCCGGGTTGCTCCCTTCTTCCCCTGCTTTTCTTTGGGGAAGCGTGTCTTATGGTGTCTTTTTTTTTTCCCTCATGGCCGCTGGGCATCTGAGAGGAAGACAAGTTATGGGTTTTCTGGAGGGAGTTCCTCAGGTTTTGTGTCTGAAGGTGTGCGGTTCTGCCAGGTGACCCAACCAGTGCCCAGAGCGCGGCTGCTGCTGTACACTCCAGCGTCGGCTGCGCTCAGCACCCAGCGGCTTGTACTTCAAAATAAAGCAACTGGTAACTGGACCCTTGCCAAGGTAATGTTGACCCCGGATTAATACACCCCGATTTGGTGCTCCCCTCCAAAGGTGATAAATCCCCACTAAAACCAGGGGCACCCCCAAATTAATAAACAGGGGTTTATGTACTTAAAAGCAAAGCAACTTTTCACCAAAGGTTCCCTCCCACCCTTTTCACATGGAACCTGACGTTCGGGACCCGGTCCCTTTAAACTTTAAACGGCAAATGGTCTTCCAGGACCCCCTGTCAGGTTGCATGTTAATGTTAATTGGTGGGAGGGTGTATTGTTGCTCCCCGGCGGGGTGCTTGTTTGAGGGTGCCCTGCTCACCTTAGAACGAAGCCAAAAGGAGCAGCATGTTTGCTCCATATTTTGACAGTCATCTTGACGTAAAATAACATGGACCCAAAACACCCTGATTCTCAGAGGAAGCTCCTTTTGGCGGGGAAGTTTGTTTGGGAGTCCATGACAATCTGCTGCTTCCCTCACACGCTTTTCCTCGGGTAGTGTCACCCCATCTCTGAAACATTGGGAGTTGGGGGTGTTTGTTTTCTTGAGGGCACCGATTTTTGGTGCTTTGCAAAGGCAGGCCAACAGGAAAACCGCAAACAAATTTTTGGGGCGCCCAACCCTTAAAACAGCCGAGCCCATCGGAACGTCGCCTGGTGTTCAGGTTGCCCCATGGGCTGCCGGAAGGCGTGCAGCTCCAGTTCCCATTAAGCGTTGCGGACCAGGCACGGAGCTGCACGCGGTCCCGAGCGGTTTGAAGGTTTGGCAAGCAACTGCGGAGCTTTCAGCTGGGTCCGTAATTGTTCATTTGAAGAGTTCTCAAACAAATGTGTTTTGGAAGTTGGGCTTCCTGTATTGAACCACTGATTTTAGAGTGTGGTTTTGAGGATGTCGATTTCACGTAATTACCCGGTTGATCCTTAAATCGTCGTCCTCAAAAAGAAGTGGAACCAGGCCAGTGGATGACTCCCGAGATCCAGGCGGCTTACAAACTGCGGGCCTTGGAGACGCTGCGGTCTGCGAGGCCATTGGCAGCCACAGGCTCGCGGCAGCTGGTTCACGGACCTGGACAACAGCGCAAATGAAACGGAGAGCGCGCTCAAGGCCGCGAGCACGAACCTGCGCTACATCAACCCGATCCTGGGCCAATGGCTGCGAGCTGGGTCGAAGTAATTGCGAACTCGAAAAAATATTTGGAAAGAATGGTTTCAATCGGGAAGCAGAAACTGGGCGGTTCCCGGCCATCCAGCTACTTAGGTCTTTTGTTCCCCGGTTTTAGTTGGTTTTAGTGGTTTGGGTTTCCATTTAACCCACCAATGTAGCAGGGGATCAGTTTGGACAGCCCAGGAAAGTAGAAACTGATCTCCAGCTTTGACATGCACGAACGAATCGGGAGGTGGGAGTTGTTTCTAGTACTGTTGCTAGGAGTAATTGTATGGAATCCCTCCTCCCCGCTTCTGTATCACAGATCTTTTCATGAAGAGTTCACAGGGCCTTTTTCGTCATAGGAAAGCGCAGTGTTTGAGAAGTTGTAGCCAACGATTTTGGATCGTGGAGTCAGGCAGAGATGCGGTGGATCCTCTAAATGGGGGCATGTCGAAATGAGATGAAGCCCTGGTAGTTGACGTTTCCTTCAGTTTCCCTCAATGCAGACCGGGCAAGCGAGTTTCAGTTTGACCACGCCTAAGGAGCTGGTTTCGCTTTCACTCTGTTTTTGTGAGTGCTGACCTTGTCCTTCGCCTGAGTGTATTCCTGGGTTTTACATCCTAAGTAGCTTTTCGAGCCACCCTGCTGTATCCCCGGTGCCCGTTCTTAGAAACATGATGTTGCAAGCGTGCCTACCTGAAAAGCCATGCTGCATAAAGGAAGCTGTTTGTTTGGATACCCCTGTCTGGTCCAATAATTCGCAGGGGAGCTTTCAAGGGACATACGCAGTAGCCTTTGAACAGCTTCCTCTGCTTTTTTGAGGTTTGGAAGGATTCCAGAACTTAGGCAACCTATGTTGGATGGCAATGTCACCATGAGGGAACCATAACCTAAGAGCCTTGTGGGGAATGTTCAAGCCCGTATTTTCATTTTTTCCAGGGGTCTCAGCCAAATGGAAGCCTACGAACACACACACACACAACACACACTGTTTCTCGAAAGGAGCAGACGGTCGCCTGGCAGCTGCTGTGCCATCAGCGTCTAGAGGCACAGCTGGATCGCGAAGTGGCACCTCGGTCCCCAAAAAAACTCGGCTGGTGCCTGGTTCCGGTGAGTTGATTGAGTCGATTGAGTCGATCCCCGGATTTTCGTGGTCTTCTCACTAGTTTTGGTGGGACACCCGGAGAGGTTGACGTGGATTCACCGCCTGAGGAAGGCTACGTGAGCCTGCGCCTAGACGAGCCAACGGCGCTTGGACCGCCGCTGCTTGTTCGCGAGCTGCCGGAGACGGTGGGCAGCAAGGCGCGCGGTTCAGGTGGTAGGTGTTTGTTGGTTTTCAAAATGTCAGTTTGTTGGTTTCTTGGTGTTTGTGGTAGGTGTTCAAAATGCGGTTTGCCCTTTTGGGGGTTCATCCAAAACTCATCTAGTAGTTTGGTGTGTCTTTTGAACGAAAACTGTTCTGAGTTTTGTCAAGCGGGTTCTCCTGGAAGACTGCTACAAGCGGATCCCTAGATAAATTTCTGGAGGGATTGCTCAAGTCTGTATATTCAATCAGGGATCCAGAGGAGTTTTGTTTGTTGAGTGCTTCCTTTCCTTCAAGTTGCTTTAGTTGAATGGAGTTGAAAGGGGCGTGACCCATTTTGGCGGCTATACAATTGTCGGGAATTCCGGCTTGTTGCTACACCCACCCCATGCATGTTTCCCCACGATACATGTCTTTTGTTTCCTTGTGGGTTTCTGGGTCTTGGCAGAGTGTATGTTTTTTTGACAGCCTGCGACTGATACAACCATGGTTGGGCATTGAATAAGACTCTTGTCGCTGCAGGCAACCCAAACGAGGTTGCTTTTGCCTCGCTTCCCAAGATTCTGAATGCCATGGTTTTGGGAAGATCACCATTGGTGAAAAAACACAAGCCAACGACTGGTCACTCCACTCACTTCCTGAGGGCTTCAAACATGAAACTTGCCGAAACCCTGGAGACCGACAGACCCTTCTTCCTGCTAAAGGGAGTTCAAGGAGGTTGTAGCAATGGCCTAGACATGTCCCAGGAAAAAGACCAACGGAGTCAACTCTTGCGCGAGGTTTGGCGCGGCGCCTGGCTGCTTTGGAAGGTGAGGCTCTTCGTTTTCTTGCTGCGATAGGCAGGGAATGAAGGAATGAACCTGGGATTCCCTGAAAGGAAACCAATAGGGGATGGTTTATAGGGGTCATTCCCTCATTCCCTGCTGAGCACCATCATTTTTTCTCGTGGGCTCGATGGGTCCACGCACCTGGAGGATGGATTTTGTCAATCAGCGGCACTTGCAGATGGTTTGTAGAGGAGTCGCTGTTAGGACCCCTTTGCGACACTTTCCACGTTGATTTGCAAGGAATGCATCCTTTTGGGCCTTGAAAGTGAGGTTCAAACGGGACATGAAAGGGTCGTTGTTTCAAGAATACGGTTCATTCCCTAACCAACAAATTTCATCCGACCACGAATCCCTGATCATTTGTGGTAAGTTACAGGGTTTTCCTTATTTTCTACTTGCAGTATTTCTCGGCTTGACATTGGTGTCGAGTATATGTTCCCTTGTTGCTTTGGTTGAACCATCACCTCGTGTTTGGTGTTTGGTAGCCCACAGAAAGGTTTCCAGAGGGTTCTATCAGTGGTCTCTGAAGCGGAGTCAAAGCAGATTCAATACTTTCGGCTGTCTCTCTAGACTTGATGACTTCGGTCTGAACATTATACCAATATTTCTTGGGGCTTTCGCCTGGACAGGTTGGGTTGCCACCAGGTTCACTGCCTTATGATTGTGTTGTTGTTCTGGTCTACGCGTCAAAAGAGGTTGACCATGTGACATCCCTTCTGGGGCATGCCCCGTAAAGTGCGGATCCCTTCATTTCAATACGAGGTGGGTCAAGAGGTCGCCCAGTCACCTGCACGCCCACCCACTCAGATTTTAAACAGATCCGGATTCTTCTGGGGCAAGGAAACCATCGGAAACAAGACCAGGTGGATCAAGAGAAACCCCAGACCCCAGGAACTCTTTCTCATTTGGGTGGAGGAATCCGATTCAACTTGGGAGTCCGAACTTCTCTCGAACGCCCCGCTGCCGGGTTGACGATTGGTTTTCCGGAGCAAGCGTGTTGGAGATCTGCAAGAACGTGTTCGCCAAAAGGAACCAAAGCTGGACTGTTCAAAGGTAATCAGGAAGATCCTTGTCTTGAGTTACGAACCGGTCCAAATCCTTTGTAGTGGCTTCCCTTTCGGGATTATGGAAAATCGGATTGGCCAACCCAACCCATTTTGAACTGCCCAGCAAAGGGAGGCTCTTTAGCAACGTTATGTAACACATGTTTAAGGGGGAATGGCAAAGTTTGTGTCACGAGGAAACTGATCAAAGTTGGACGCATGAATTCCACCGAACAACTCACAGGCCATGCGGATCTGTTGATTTTCTGCATTCAAGGGGAGAGGAAAGCGCTCAAACCAAACAGAAACAGCAAGACCCCTGTTTTTTACACCTTTTCCAGACCCCCTGGATTGGTTGTTGTCTTTTTCAGGCCGCTCTGGCTTCCCTCTAGTTTGCTTTTTGGAGTGGTGGTTTGGAGGTTAGAGGTTCTCTCTACAAGATCCAGAACTAAACATCCCCAAACCAAACCAAACCAAGCTAAACCTAGATGGGGGTTTTCCATACCACCAAACTAAGCTAAACCAAGCTAAACCTAGATGGGTTTTTCCATCCCACCAAACTAAACTAAATTAAGCTAAACCTACATGGGGGGTTTCCATCCCACCAAACTAAACTAAACTAAACCAAGCTCCTAGATGAGTCTTTCCATCCCCAAACCCCAAACCTAACCCCAAACCAAGACCTAAACCCTCCTGTTGTGCCCTTTTTCAGACCTTCCTGGCTTTCACTCTAGTTGGGGTCGGTTGGTGGTTTGGAGGTTAGAGGGAATCTTTACAAGAACCAAGCTAAACCTAGATCCAGTTTTCTTTCCATCCCGCCAAACTAAACCAAACCAAGCTAAACCTAGATGGGGTTTTGTCCATCCCACCAAACCAAGCTAAGCTAAACCTGGATGGGTTTTTGCCATACCCCAACCTAAACCCAAACCTCTCTTGCTCAACATATCTCACCGGGAGCATCCTGCTGCGAGAGGTGGCCATGGGGCAAAACCTATGTCTCCATTTGTTTGTCGGATGAAGATCCATTTGCCACCTTTGATGTTCACCAGTACCCTCAAAAAAAAGTATTGACACAAATTGACAAACCTCCGGAGCTTGTCCTCCTTACCACCACCACAAAAAGGGGTACCCTCAAAAAAGTATGGACACAAATTTCAGTCTCTGGGTTTTGACCACCGCGAGAGGTGCTGCAGAACTCGGAGGCCCAGTCCCTGCTGGAGCTGGGCGCCGGCGTGGGCCTCACTGGCCTTCTGCTCGCCAGCGAGCCGAGCGCCCAACAGCGCCGGGTGGTGGTCTCGGAGACGCGCAACGCCTACGCCGGCGCCGAGGCGAGAGGGCGAAACGGGAGAGGGGCGGGGGGGCGGGTCGTTTTTTTTTTTCGATGGGTCCGGGTCGTTTTGTTTCTTTTTAAAGGTTGGACCCCCCCAAAAAGGGTCCCCTAAGTCACAAAATGGTTTCCCCTGGTTTCCCCTTGGTTTTCCCACTTGGCTCCCCTTTAAGCCCACCACAAAAGGACACCCAGTGTCGATCCCGACTCAGTGGATTTCACATCCAAGAAGGTCAGATCAGACCCCCTGGACCATGCCCAAAAATAATCCCCCCCCGAAGAGCTAAGAGTCGATGAGGGGAAAGAACGCGGCATGTGTCATATGTTTCTGGAAAAGTCTAAGTCTTGGTTGTTGTTGTTGTTGTTGTTGTTTTTCCTGAAACTCCTGGCCCTAGTTTTCGGAGGGTCTCCTGGAAATGGGAATTATTTGAACCAAAATCGCAGAAATCCGAGACCATGGTTGTGGACAGCTTGAAGTTGGCCACTGTCTGCAATGCCAAGGGACTCCACCCGAACAGAACAACATGAGTTATATGGACACGGACATCCCACCTTGGCATGCCAGAAAGTTTGTTTTGTTTCCGCAACCATGGGTCTCGTTGCGTCTGCGAGATGTGCATTTAGCCTTTGCCCGACATGCACGGAAGTTGGGAGAGTTTTGAAAGACCAATTCCAGTCCTTTCAAAAAGTTGCCTTTGTCCACTGCCATTGTTGGATAAAAGATACCCCTGGTTGAACGTCATTTTTCTAGAGGAATCCCCTTTTGGCCCCCCCCCCCCGCTGTTCTTGCTGGTGCGATAGGCTGGGAATCAGGGGATGACTTTTGCAAACCCTCCAAGGGGTCTTTTCTTTTCTTGCCGGTGCTCAGCAAGCGAGGGGATGAGCCCTTCAAACCATCCAACTAGTTTTCCCTTTCAGGGGACCAACGCCGAGCTATCGCTCCAGCCAAGCTCTTGGGCTCCAGAGGAATCGGCCGAACCGAGGCGATCTCCGAACTCCGCCAGCAGGGCTCCGGAAAAGAAAAACATTTTGCAACCACTTGAGACGTGTGGCTTTTTCAACACCAAAATCAAGTTGGAAACCACCATTTACAAGTTGCAATGTGCAGGTGTATAATGAAAGGATCCCTGGCCAGGTGACGTTCCAGAACTTGCAGCACAACGCGGCCCTCAATGCCGCGGCCATCGAAGCCGCGGGAGGATCTGTGCAGGTGCTGGACCTGGATTGGACGGAGGCCAGCCTCTCATTCCGGTTTCCGGAAGATCACTTTGCTGGCGAAGGAGAAGTCGGGACTTGTGTTGACCTACTCAGGAAGATCCAGGGGCGCAAAGATCCACCTCTTCTTTTTGGTGGGTGCTTAAAGAACAACCTGAATGATATCCAAGCATTTTGGGGCGTTCAGCGTCGCTGACCCCATTTTGAGATATGGCCCGCTGTTCATTTTTTGGCCGTCTGGAAGATCCTACCCCTGGTAAGCGAAGCGATTTGGCCCCAGAAGATGCAGGCAAGCTGCTCAAAACCAAGGCCGGTTGATCAACAGACAGCTTTTGGACATTGAATCCCAGAGGTCGCATGAGCTGGGATACCTATAAGTGAAGAACTAAGGATGGGGAGAGCACCACGAATCTGGCAACCCATGCTCGCAAGCCCCCGGCGCAAGCCGCGTCCTGGCTTAAGCTTTTGCAATAGCATCCGGCAGGAAATGAATTCTAGAAGCAGTCAGCCAAGCACACACCAAATCCAGTGGCTTGGGCCAACTTCCTGAATGCATCTGACTTCAGCGATCCCAAGCCCCCCCCAAACATGAAATTGGGGGAGGGGACCCCTGGAATTCCATGCGCGGTTCCATTTCCCTTTGAGGAATAGAATGGAATTGGGGGCACCCCCCACCCCTTCCCCCGCAAGGCAGTTGGGAGAGTGATCCAGGCAAACGGCGCCTTCGGCCACGCCTTTGACCTGGTCATCGGCAGCGACATCCTCTACGAGCCGCACCTCTTTGAGGACTCTCACAGGGATGAAGGGGCCGTCTTCGTCACTGAGGGGTCCCTGAAAGTGGGTCCTTTAATGGGACAGGGGGTGGGTATACCTGGATCTTCCAAAGTGTGTATTTGCCATGCCTTTTCGTGAAAAGCTGCTTTTCAGACCAACGACACACTTATTTCGTCTCCAGGCACTGTTCATTGGTCTACTCTTCTGAGGACAAATCCACGAAGCGAAACGACGACTTTCCCAACCAAACGGCGACAAACTCCGACCAAAGGGGCACTTTCTCCGACATGTTCCCTGCCAAATTTGAAACAACACTTTTGCAGGGAAAGTTGTTTTGTTTTTTTCGACGAAAGGACTGAGCTTTGTGCTTGTTTGGCACAAGGAGGGATCCATGCACACCTGGAGGATTCAGGTATGGCTGTAGCTTGTTTACTAAGTTGGCGGGTGTGGGGTTCAACTTCAAGTGGTTGCTGTTTGAGGCATTCTCAAAATTACATTTGGGACCCAATGGTTTTCCTTAAGCCACCATTTGATACTGTTGAGGATTTTGCTTCTCACGTTAATTTCTTAGTCAACAACTTACTTGCCCAGAGTCGGCATGTTGCCATCTTTAACTTCTTGCCTTTTCCTATTGCCTCTACTTTTCGAGCCGACCCCAACAAGATTGACCTTTGATTTCCAGGTCCTCTGGTTATGTGAGACGAGAACGAGTGTATATACATGGTTTGGGCTTAAGTTTCCTAGTTGATTCCCTAGCTCACGCCACCCTGAGTTGGGTGGCTTGTGTTCTTGCGGGACAATTGGGGAAGCCACTCTCTATGTCCAATCGAATTCAATTCCCCAATTCAGCGGGGCGAGCGACCCTTGCCAGAGAAGCGGCTCAAATGTTCGGCTCTGGTGCCCTCAAGGTTTGTTCGTGATCCCCGTGAGTAATCCGTAGCTTCGTAACCATGTGACCAGAGGTGAGCCAAACGGCTTGACACCAAATCCCAGACGGCTTGGCCAAAACCCAAACGATTTGCCCAAGTTGGATTCCAGCGCACTACAAAGCTCCCACCACAAATGGCCAAACAGACCAGAGGCCCTCTCTGCTCATGGAACAACAACACCGAGGAAACCCCAAGTAGGGATACCCCCCCCCATCTCCCTCCCATATTAAATTCCCTGGACCAGAGCGTGTGTCCGCACGAAACGGGAGAATTGCGGGGTAGGGGATTCGAGAACCTGACAAGCCTTGGAGGGTTTTTTCCCCCCAGGTTTCAAATTCCACCACGTGGCAATCGCGGGCCCCATGTTTTTCTCATGTTCCTTGGCTCCCATTTGCTTGATATGGTTCTGTTTTGAATTCCCCCTCTTGGTTTTAAAAGGAATCTACTACTCATGGTTGTGGTTGGGAAACATTGTACATTTTTGCCTATTGTGGTTTAGTGGTTGAAATCCCCACTCACTGAACTGCTCAAATGTGAAAAATGTTTGCTCCCTTCCAACGTCAACCAAGTACTGAGGTTCCCCTACTAAAGTAGACTACAGAAAACAGGGTACCCTCATTCTCACCTCTCCACTGGAGGACCTGGGATTTCTTCTTCAAAGCATGTTTGACCCCCCTTTTGCTTCAGCAGCCACTGGAGGACCTAGAATCTACTACTGGACATGATGTTCATTTTTTCCTGGAGACTTCAGCAACCGGAGGCAGGGCTTGCGCTACGCTCCGGAAGGACCTGCTCACGTTGATGCAGCGCAGCGCCCGGCGGGCGGTGCTGGTGCAGAACACCGCGCGGAAGGGCACGGAGTACTTTAAGGCGAGCCCGGACGTGTGACGTGTCCCCCACCCCACCCACGGACGTGGGCTCCTCGTGACTTGTTTGTTGTTTTTAAAGGGCCCCCTCAGAAAAATAAATCAAGGTGGGTTTCCGTTTCCCTGGAAAACCCTTCCACAAAGGGGCAAAAAGAATAAATACATGATTGGCTCCTCTTGTTTCAGGTTGAACCCGCCCTCCCCAAAACAAATCGGGGTTCCTTTTGGTGTCCTGGAAAACCCACCATAAAGGAGGTAATTACCAACTCCAAAACAAGAC